AAGGCAAATGAAATTACAACTCGCTACTTGATATGTTTCCTCAAGCGTTAATGAAAGCCAAGTAAAAGCCTTTATTAAGCGAACACGTAGCGTATGAGTGGCTTTTTGTAGAAAAAATCTATTATAGGATATTATTGTAGGCTTTACAACTTTAGACTCATAATTACGTCTTCTATTAATATTATTTATATTATTTATAACTAAATATTGCATTAAAGTGCATTTCTGCAATAGATATTTGCTTCCATTTGTGGTTTTGATATAAGTAGCTAAAGCACAAATTGCTTATGTACTGATAACAACTTAGAGGATAAAATCAAATTTCCTTTTAATAAGACGACTTAAAGTCAAATAGAAAAGTTCTAGTAATTCAATGAGAGTTTATTATGGATTGCACTTTGCAATCCACAACCGCAAAGAGATTATTTACATTTGAACTGGTTAGGAAAGTTACACTGAATTATAGAGCCAATCCATCTTCCAAGCACTCAAGTCTTTATGAAGTTGTCAGTGCTCAATTTTCAACTTTACACAACAAATTACTATAATCTTGGTTAGGTTATATGTGTTAGATAGATAACAAATTAAATTATTTCAGTTTTACTCTTCTACCATAAATAAATTTATTACAAAATTTAAATGGATATTATTGGTTAGATGGAAAAAATTGAAATTGGTTTTAATTCATAATTCTCTGGACAAATTTTTAAAATAAAAAAGTCGTTTCTTATTAAATAATATTTTTTTGCAAAAAATAAAAATAATAAAAACAAAAATAATAAATTAGAATAAAAATAATTATCATTATTTCTTTATAAGAAGAATTCAACACCAAATTCTAGGAAGTTTTGTTAAATATTTGAATTTAAAAATCGATTATAATTAGATATTTTAAAGTATTATGCAGTTTTTACTCATTTTTAATAAATTAAATAATTTATAATATTAATTAGCAATACTGTAGTAGTAAAATAAAACAAAGCTCACTTAGTAGATATATAATAATCAATTCAATTACAACTAATGGATTTTAAAATGTAGAAATGTAAAAGACAAGCTCCAATTAATATATACAATTTAAAAGACTTTATCAAGGTTAATAATTACAAGTATAGTACTCTTTAACTGCCGACTGCTGCCTCATGATTTAACTACTACTACCACTACTGCTTGACTATAAAACTGCTTCACCGCACTACTTCTACTTGATTGCTTAACTTAACCACTGCTACTTCTTGACTATAATATATAACTGCTTGACCGGCTTTCACATAAATGTATAATCTAATACATAACATATAATGGATATTTGAAAGAACCGATCAATCTTAAGCAAGTAAAATGTTTAAATATAGACTAGTCATACCAAAGCATAATGGAAAGATGCAACATAGACCAGAATGAATAGTTTTTGGAATTTTTATCAGCAATCTTTAACTTCCCTATTAGACGTCCTTATAAAAACAATCAGTTAATAGTCTATTAGAACTTAAGCAACTTGGCAAAATTATGTTAAAATATTTCACTATTAAAGTTTGAGTGATACAATAGGGCTCTTCTGGCCGCAATACCGGTTGTTTGGCGATATCACGACAATAGTTTTTTATCAAAGTTTAAAAAGTAATAATAATAATTCTTGTCATCATCTCAAGCAGAAATCTCCAGAAAATAAACTCCTTTATCAACTAAACATATCGGTTTTAAAAGTTGATTCATGGCTAGGTGTATGATATCAAAACGAGACAGTTTGTATCAAAGAGAAACTTCTGCGTTAGTAAAAACTATCAGCTAGAACTAACTCAACATCAACTAAAGTATTTTTAGTAGAATTTTTAGAAAATCATTTAATTTTCAAATATTTTGAAACATATCACAGCTACATTCTAAATTACAATCTATAGCCTTTGCAATGAAGTAATTTTACAGCAATGAAATATTTGATATATAACTGATCAGACCTTGTAAGTACATGCAATATCAATTGATATTCTAATTTTTGTGTCATTCAAGTTAGCTAGAGAAGTGCCTTATTATGGCACTTCTATCGACTTCTTCAGAACTTCTTACTTAAAGAATAAAATTAATTTCTCGGACAAATACAAAAATTTTTAATCATGGGCAACTATAGTGTAAAGTGGGCTAAATCTAAAATAACATATGTGCATATATTTATTTATTTGTAGATATTGTGGAGAATCCAGAAATCGTCATTCTGTCAAATAAACATGGTTCTGATCACAGAAAAATTTTTGAAGGAATAAATGATGCAACAGTCGTATTGTTTAGTGAGGATTTTAAGATAAAAATCCGGTGCCTTGCAATTTACTTTGAAAATTGCTTTCACAATATTAAACGAAATAACACACAGCAACTCCTTCACTGTATCGAACCTGCTTTTTTAAACATCAATCTATTCTGTTCCTTTTTTTTTGAAGTTTATAAACTCATTTTACATATTGGGTGGCTCATCAAATATGGATGAATTTATTTTGAAATGTTCCCCCATTAGTCTCTTTCATTGCAGTGTGGATTTTGTTTGATTAGTATTCAAATTTTTTAAACCACTTCAACCGCAGGTGAAATATAGCATTTTGCAACACTGCTCCATTATAATGTTTTGCGGCATTACTAGATTTATTATAACATACCGGGATTTCAAGTATAAAAAATGATTCTTCTTTAAAGAACCTCTGGGCTCTAATAATAGTTTAAACATTGTGCAAACACACTACTGCCATCAAATATCTGAAGAAAATTTTTTTTAATAAATTGAAATATAAACGCTTCCAAATAGACGTAAATCAGCTATTTTTAGGATAACTATGGTTACAGTGTGGTAATATCAACATTGTAAAGAGTGTCATCCTATGCAGTTCTATTCATCCTATTCAATTGAACTATTTAACATATACCCCTTACATATGTTTAAAAACAAAGTACATTACGATATGTAAGGATATCAGCATTATCATTTATAGCAGGCACGTAGCACAGGAGAGGTTAGAACTTCAGCCGAAATGAATCGAAGTAATATTAATCGAAGTAGTGTTAATAATAATAAGTATGCATCATTTATTATTAATGCATCATTAATACATTAATGATTGATTATAAACAAAAATAAAGTCCATTAAGCATTTTATCTAAAAACAATCCAGGCACTAACCACACCTAGGTGTCACAGGACCTTTTGGGACGACTCCCTCGGACGCCCTAAACGTGATACCTATCGATCTTCATATCAAAAACATAGTTTGCAATAGCGCTATAAGACTAAAAGTAGCAGGATTCTAAGTAGTCGTAGTCGAATTCTATGTACAGTTCCAATCTGTCTGTATAGGATGACATGATGTAGTTTATCGTCTGTTTAAATTTTTGTTTGTATTTAGATTCTTATCAGCTTACAGACCCGAACAATTAAACGCATGCCAACATTTTTAAATAAATGCGTTTAATTGTTCGAGTCTGTAAGCTGGTAAAATCTAAATACAAATGTATAGGATGACATCGGATTATCTGAATCCGTGCATAGACTTCAAATGGAATTTTTAGACAATATTCCCTACAAGAAATCAGTGGAAAAGGAAAAATTTCGAAGCAAACTACGATATTTCAATATATACAGATGGCTTGAAAATGAACTGAGGGGCAGGAGCAGGAATCTTCGTACCATCTGAAAACATAAATAACTCTCCTAGGTTACCTAATGAGGCTACGTTTTTTTAGGCTGAAATCCTAGCAATTAGAGAAGCCTGTTGGCAAATTGCAAGCCACATCGAGGACAGATGTAGTGTTGCTATTTTTATTGACAGCCAGGCAGCAATTAAAGTCCATGAATCTTTCATAATAAAATCAAATATATTAAAGGAATATAGAAAAGCAATCGACGAGCTAAATTGGTTGGCTGATATCACCCTCACCGGAGTTCCTGCACATAGAAACATCGTGAGGAACGAAAAAGCTGACAGTTTAGCCCGCTCTGGTGCCTCCCTAGATGTGTCCCTGGCAGTACCAGTTTATATTACCCTGGAGACCAAAATAATAAATAATAATGCATTTTTTTAAAAAGTTTCAAACATTTTCAAAAAAATAATACCCAACTGTACTGTGAGATAAGGATCCAAAAACTTAAATTAGTATTTTTAATAACATCCTTTTTATGTATTTGCCATTGATTACTACTTGATTTGTCATAGTATAAAATCTATTTCACTCAACAAAATGTAGTTTTCAAAAGAGGTTTCTGCCATCATTTAATAATATTTTCCAAATTTATATAATGTTATACAACAACAATACATATAATATTAATAATAATGTACAACAGTAAATAATGTGTTGATATAACCCAATATGTGGCCCAACTAAACTGACCCCTTTCCCTGTCAATCTCCATTAGCATAATATCATTGAAGAAGATGTCTGCAAGGACCTTTCATTGTACTAGCATGCAATCCTCTATATGTACACAATATGTATATGTCCCACAATGAATTCTTCATGATAAATCTCAATTGAATTTGTGCTTACCTTCTTATCCAATTTTATTTCGCAGGACATCTCAATGTTCCGTGAATTTTTGCTAGTAAAATTGATAAATGCTGAAAAGGCAACATTTCAAACGCCAACATTTTCGCAAAAACGTGAAAGAACTTTGGAAATGTTGATTAAGGATTTACATGAGGACTACGTGGGCGACAGCAAATTGGTAAGTTCAGTCAACATAGAAGGTTTGAAAGCATTGCACATTGTACTCTGGCATTTGTGGTGCATGCGATGCAGTTGCATTGCTTTTATGGCAGTGCATGCAGTACATGCAGTACACAAAACTCAATGCAGGGAAGTGCATATTTAAGCGTCTATTAACCCAACAGCCAAAATGTAAATGTTGGTAAACAATTATTGTGCAATCCCGTGAATATCAATGCACACGAATTTTGTGTGTGGGCGTGTTAGAATATTTGCCACATTTGCCACATTTGCCACAATTGCCACACCACACGAAAGTAATTAAGAGTCCTGTTTGTAATTGAAATAGAACAATAGTAAAAGTTTATGTTAACTAACAATTTCATTTGCAGAACATGCTAAATAGACGCGCCTTCTCTGAAGTGCTCTACGACGTGCCAAGAACATCAAAGCTGAAGGAGGACGCAAGGCAAATAGAATTTGTACGCATTGGACAAGCACTTAAGCTGGAAGCCATTGTACGCGGTGATGCACCCACTAGCATTGCTTCAGCGAGTCCTTGTACTATATTTAAAAACCCACCTTGGGGCCCTGATATATTTTACCCCACATTTCCGCACAGAGGTACGCTGGCTGGTGATTCCTTTGGCAGCAGTGATGAATGTTTGTTTATTGCAACTGATGATGGCACCTTCCTGATGAAAGGTAAATTAAATTACAGGTTACAGCTAAGCTAAGCTAACTGCAATTCATACATTTTATTTGTATTTTTATGTTCCGCAGAAGATCAATCACATCAGCTTATTTTTGACAAGACTTTTTATGTGCGGCAGTTGAATGTTTTGGAGGAGCATGGTTTGGTTTTGATACGTGGCGGCTCAGTCACCAACCGCGATTCGCATCGTGTACATGTTTTTCGTTTGCGTGAGTTTCAACCAAAATGTGCAGAGGAGTCATTCAAGTGTCGCAGTCGGGCGGAGGTGAAGGATCGCCGCATTGACAGGACACGCGGTTGTCATTTGTTTGCTAGCTCGCGTGTCAATGGTGGTCATTTACGCTTAGTGGTCGCTGTTGGCAAAAAGTTGCAGTTATTCCAATGGAAACATACGGCTGCATGGGCTTCGTGGTGTTCGGAAAACGATACAGAAACAGCTGAAGGTTTCATTTTTCAAAAGGAAATACAGCTGAGTGAATCGCCGTCGATTATTACGCCATTAGAAGGACCAACAAATACAAATGCTGGTGGTTTTATTTGTGTTGGATATAGGCAAGTGGAGAACAATTCCATTTCGAATTGTTTAATAATAAAAATGAATCCTTTTGTTGCTTTTCTGTTTGCTTCAGGTATCATTATGAAGTTATCTGTGATCAAACTGGTACAATTACACGTTTACACGAAGTGGAACCATCAAAAAGAAGTCAAGCACAGCTTACAGATGCAATTGAACTATGTGACGGCCTAGAAACTGAACTACTGCTGTGCTATAATCGTAAGTAGAGAACCAGTCTCAGAAGATATATATAAAAGTATGTTTTAAGAAAAATTATTATATACAAAATACATATTTTCAAAAAATTTATTTTAAAACTCTAGTACACATTTATGTTATTTTAAATAATAATCAAAAATATTATAAAAAAATAATTAAAAAATATAATTTAAAATCCAAGAACATTAAAAAATAATTAAATATATATGATATAAAAAATTAAAACATAATAAAGGATGCAAATTGAAATAAAAGTTAAATAAAACTAATGAATAAATAAAACAAAGTATATATAAATAAATAATATATATAAATAATGTATAAAAAGCTATAGGAAATAATAATTACAAATAAACAGTAATAAATAATATTATATAAAATAAATCTAAGTTATTGATAAATATAACCCATAAAATTCATAAATAAGTGTATAGAGTCAGAGCCTTTTGTTTTTTTTATTTATCTTTAATTCCATTATAATTCGATATTAAATTTGATTTTAACCTCAGTTACTACAGTTGTGATTATTTTATTTAGTAGAAACTGTTGTATTTAATGCAAAGGTTTCGGGAATAGTGAAATGTGATAAAAAAAATTTTTTATTTATTTGTTATTAATAATTTTCTTTTAAATAATATATTAAATAATACTCACTTCCGTCATAACTGAAGTTATATATAAAATATATATTATATATAAATATATATTAAATATAAAAATAAAATATTTAAAATATTTAGACTTGACTCTGACCTTAAAAAAAATGTAACTAATTATAAATATATAGAAATTTCATTGTTATAATGCACTACTGTCAAAACTTTTCAATTATAATTAATAAAATAAAAAATTTTATTTAAATAATGTAATAAAAATACCTCTCCATTAAAAACAATAGTTTATATTAAGAATTTAGTTTCTTTCGTCAAAACAGACGTTAAAATTCAATTTAATGAAAAGAATAAAATTATAATAAACAAAAAAATAATAAATAAAAAAAAAATAAATAGTTAATAAAATAAATTAATCCGCAATAATGGAAATTGAAATTTAATAAATTTAGTTAGTGAATAATAATATATAAATGTTTTAATATATAATATATATATTATATGTATTATATATATTATATACAAGTGACATTAAGCTCTCTCCCAACATCATTAAATTGAACAAAAAAGAACTTGCTGCGCTAAGCAGGTAAAACCTTTTTTTAGTCAGTAGAAGTTAAGCTTGCATCGTGCAAAGTACTAATAAAGTTTTCATTTAAAAAATAAAAAAATCGTTTTTATTGAAAAATTGTCACTTACAATTATATATATTAATATATAAAAATAAAATATTTTTTATATATATTATATCCGGCTACAGGTCACCTTTTTGTAAAAACTGGGTCTAGAAAAAAATTCAAAACTTAAAAATAAAAATTAAATAAAATTTATACGTTATAGTAACAAATAAAAAAAAATAAATAAAAGCAATTTTTTAAGTAAATAATATTCAAAAACCTTTTTATTTGTAAAATAGTCCTCTTTCTTCATAATTGACTTTAAAAGTTATATATTATTTTCTATATTTTTATTTTTATATATTTATTTTAATGTTTTATATTTTTCTTGAATATTTTATTTATATTTTTTATAATCAATTATTTCATAATAAATTATTTATTTTTTTAAGAGTAACAATAATTAGCAAACGAATATGATTATAATGACATTAAATAAAAATAAATCTTTTAAAAACATATATAATAATTTTAAAAATAAAAAAAATTTTATGTAAAATTAAAATAAAGAAATGAAAAAATAATAAATATTCAAAATTATTATACAAAATTAATGAAAAATATAAAACTATAGCGTAATATTTTTATCTATTCACAAAACATTTTCATTATAAAAGTATTAAAAGGAATTTAATGTAAATAATTGTATTAGATTAAAGAAAGAAGTCAATATATAAAAAAAAATATTAAAAGAACTTAATACAAATTAAATGAATATTTATAATAAAAAAAACAAATATATACAATATTAAATGAAAGAATTAATAAAAATAATATTAGTATCAATGTGAAAGGTAAATAACGAGTTCTTTATATCAAATATAATAAAATAGTTTTTTTAAAATATTGTTTAAAAACCTTATATATTTATATTTTATAAAGTAATTATATTTTATAAAGGATTTTTATATTATTTTATTATATTATATTTAAATATTTTTATATACTATATTATTATATTTATTTATATTTATATTAAAAAATTTATTTATTTTAATTTGCTAAATAAGCTCTAACGTATTTTATTATAAAATTTAAATATATTCCATAGAGAGGTATTTCGAACAGTATTAAATCACAACAGCAAAATTTTATTATTTTATTAATTAATTTAATTTTTGGCAGACCATACAGCTGTTTCGAGTATTGTCAAATACCCATCTTCAGTGGTCTTGGAATTAATTGAATATTGTTCGAAATATCTCAAAATTATTATTTAAAATTATTTCTAATACTATGTTTGTTAAGACATAATAGCAAATTTTTAATTAAGAAGTAATCACAATCTTTATATGTTTTTATTTTATTTTATTTTATATTTTATTAATACGTCAACTAACGTTTATAGTAATCATCAGGATTATTATTCTTTACTTTCATATAAATTTCATAGGACTTTAATAATGTTAAAATATATAAATTTATATAATATATGTATTATTAATAACTAATATTAAAAATCAATTTACCATACATCCATTAAATTATTCTATAACTCTGAATTACAGATACTTGCCACTTCCAAAAACTGAATCAAAAGGATGGCACCACAAGCGAATTTGATTTTCATTGGAATACTTCGCCAACATCAGTTGTGTGTGCATTTCCCTATATACTGGGTTTTACCTCGGACTCAATGGAAATACGACTACTTGTTAATGGTAATTTAGTAGACACAGCAATAATGCCAGAATTGCAAATGATCACATCGAAAAGAGATATATTCTTTGTCAGCACGGCACCTGAGATACGCTCAAAAGAGTTAAATATAAAGGGACTGCAAATCAATGAACTCACACCAGAACGTCGTCTAGTCACAACACCAAGTGAAACTTCATCTAGCGAAGAGCTGACACGGGACAATTATGGTGATTTGTCCAGTGTTTGCAGTAATATGACCAGCAAAGATATACCAATAAATCCAGAACATGAACTAACCAATTTACTAGAAATACCAAATGCAACAGGACAATTGCCACAAATACAACGAGCGCGTTCCTTGCAAAAAACAAGTAATATAATGGAAGAGAAGCCATTTATAGCCAAAAGTAATTCCTGTGGCGACTCATATCAGTCAAATAACACTGCTCTACGTAGTAATTCCATATTGGATCAACAAACTATACAACTACAAACAAGTGTACCACCGAACTCCCCCAGAAATAATACCAACAACACCAAATGTAATCAACACTCCCCAATGTCTCCAACGAAACGTAATTCTAAATATCGTAGTCTCTTCAATAGCGGCAACAACAATAATCACAATAACGGCAACAGCACTGAGGGTTACTCAAGCTCACCGGATCGTTGCAAGCCACTACGCGTATATCGTATACCACTGACTAAACTAACCGGTGCACACTCTCAATTCCACATGCACTCATTCAATACCAGCACACAGTCGCAGATACCATTGAGTTCTCATGGCCTTACCATGAAACAGAAATCTATTGATGTACAATTACCTCTTAGTCAGGTTAGTGAAGCTGTACTCCAGGAATGACAAACAAATCAATATAGAAACATAACACAGGGCTCACAGCCAAAATATAGGGAAAGGCGCAAATCAATTGAAATTAGAGATTTTGAAGACAATAAATTCAATGAAGAAGATGAGAGACGTTTAGAGATATTGATGCTTCAAGATGAGGATGCGGATGCGGATGCGAATGAGAATGAAACTGAGGACTTGGCTACACAACAACAAATAGATTTCAGTGTGTTGCTGAAACAGGAACTGCGCAGGTTTCAAGAAAATCAAACAAGACAAAATTGAATAGAAAACTTTTAATATAAAGTAAAATAACATTTAAATTAAAAAAAAATAATATTAAATAATTAGACATTCATCAAAATACAAATTTTCAAATGCTGGCCAATCTGAAAAGCTAAGCATGCATGTACCTAAAGTGTAGGGTGTACACATATGTCGAAAGGACAATTCAAATTGTGGTAAACAGGATTCTGTTTTATATATGAAAGTTACATTATTTGATATTTTATGCAACGTTGATATTAAAAAATATTCTATAAAATATGAGAAGTATTTCAAAAATACAATATATAAAGAAAATTAAAATAGACAGAGAGAAATATATATATTTAAATAAAAAATTAAACTTTAATAAATAATAAATAAAAATATTACATACATATATATTTACAAATATAACATTACATAGATGGCATATTGAAATACATTAAAAAAAGCATTAAGATTTAATTGTATCTAATAAACAAAATAACTTCTTGATACCTTTATTTATCTTTGAAATATCTATTTAATTATTTATTTTAATTTTTTTCCGTTTTTGATTCTTAGCTAAGATATTGAGGTTATTTTTACACTATTAGCTTTTAATAACAAAAAACATAATGGACATAAAAATGGAATAATCTGGCACTTATCAATTAAAATTAAAAATTTTTTAAAAATTAAAATTAATAAACAAGGCTTTTCTATTTAATAAATATTATTTCAGTTTTCTGATATTAACCATAGAATTATCCTACTAAAATACAATTTATTTAATTAGCCAGAATTTAATAAATCATTAAATAAGAATTTAGTAATTATTTTAATTATTACTAAAAGAATTAAGTAATTTCTTCCTACAAAATCATTTTTCATAAATAAATTATTTATTAAGCTTATTATTTAATTTATTTACTATAAATTTCATAATAAAAATATATTGAACTAAACTTTAATATACTATTGATTTTAATTAACAAAACTTTAATTGATAAAATACATAATAAACTTAAAATTATACATACCTATATATATTTATATATATATATAACTTATTTACGCATATTTAAGTATATATATAAATATATATGTATATATATATCTTATTTAAATATATTTTATAAGTATAATTTTCTTTATTGAAATATATTTATATATATGTTTATTTTATATATATTTATTTATATATACATGCAACTTATTTAAACATATTTAAATATATAAAATGTATGTATATATATATATATATGTTTTATATATATCTTATTTAAATATATGTTTTTTTTAATGTATAATTTCTTTATTGAAGTAATTATATATATTTTACTATCATATATATAATATTATATATATATATATTTATTTTATTCTTATAAATATATATACATTCAACTTATTAACATATTTTAAACTATACAATATATGTATATAGATATATATATATATTTATATATATATTTATATATATCCTTATTAAAATTTATTATTTAAGTATTAAAATTTCTTTATTGAATATATTTATTATATGTTTATTTTATTATATATTTATTTATATATACATGCAACTTATTTTAACATATTTAAATATATAAATGTATGTATAATATTATATGTTTTATATATATCTTATTTAAATATATGTTTTTTTATGTATACATTTCTTATTGAAGTTATTTAATTATATTTAATATATTATATATATATATATAATATTTATTTAATATATATAAATGATTATACTCAACTTATTAAACTATTAATATACAATACTGTATAGATATTTATATATATATGATATATATTATTATATATATCTTAATTTAAATTTATTTTTTAAGTATAATTTTCTTTATTGAAATATATTTATATATATGTTTATTTTATATATATTTATTTATATATACATGCAACTTATTTAAACATATTTAAATATATAAAATGTATGTATATATATATATATGTTTTATATATATCTTATTTAAATATATGTTTTTTTTATGTATAATTTTCTTTATTGAAGTATATTTATATATATTTTAAATATATATATATATATATATATATATTATTTAATTATATAATATATATCATTCCAACTTATTTAAACCTATTTAAAATATACAAAATATATGTAATTATATATAATATATATATTATTATATATATCTTAATTTAAATTTATTTTTTAAGTATAATTTCTTTTATTGAAATTATTATATATATGTTTATATATATATATAATTATAGTTTATTATATTTATATATATATATATTTTATTTATATATATTAATATATTTATTTATATATATTTATTTATATATATATAAATATTATATACATGCAACTTATTTAAACATATTTAAATATTAAATATATGTATATATATATATATATATTTTATATATATCTTATTTAAATATATTTTTTTTATGTATAATTTTCTTTATTGAAGTATATATAAATGAAGTCAACTAACTGCTACGTAAGCTACTATTTAATATATAAAAGTCATATTAATAAAAAAAAGTAGTTAATAATATATATTAATATAGTTAATAGTTAATATATTAACTATCATAAAGGTTTATATGAAATCAAAATAAAAATGCCTCTAGCAAAGCTATTTTAATTCGAATTTACAAAAAAAAATCATTTCTGTACCTTCTAATAATTTTAAATTTAGTTTAAATTATTTATACTAAAATCTTATATATGCTATTAAATTTTTATATATTATTATATATAAATAATTTTGAAATTATTTTCTACTTAATAATTATAATCATTTGATATATAAAATAATCTAATAGAAAGAATATAAATGAAATTAAGTTTTTAACAAAAATTTAACTATATAATTATGTTTTAAATAAAAATTAGATATTTTTTAATATGATGAAACTCGAATTATATGTATTTATTTCTATAAACTAAATAAGGTGAAAAACTTTATATAAATACAGAAAAATCAAACTCTAAACAAATATTTATATATATTCAAAAATAAATATAATAAACTTTTGTGGTAAACTTGATCAAATAAAAATATATTTTATTTAAATGAATAAGTAAATGTTTTATTTAAAAATAATATTAATATAGTGTATAACATAAAACTAATGAATATTTTTTTAAGTATTTAAAAATACTTAAATCTATAGCAATTTAAATTCAATTGCTACCGGACCAAGTAGTTATGGACTTAATTTCTATTACCTCCATTATATATAATTTTTTATTGAATTAATTATTTTAAATTGTTATTAAAATTTATTCCCAATTAAAAATTAATTTTTTTCAGTTATCCTATAAATAATAATTTTTTTTCCTTTATGCAAGGAACTGTAAAAATGAAATATATTCAATTGTCTAGATTTTTATAACACATTGAAGAAAACGTCATAGACACCATAAAGTATATATATTCTTGATCAGCTTAGTAATTTGAGTTCATTTAGCCCTATCCCTGTACTCTGATAGTTTTTGAGCTATTTATTTGAAGCTTTGCATACATACTCTTCGAAAGTAGACCTTGATGATTTGTCGTTTTGATCGAAATCGAAAAACTATGCCCTACAACAGCTACATAAAACTAAACAACCATACCAACATGTGGTATGGTTGAACCAACATGATGCGTCGATTAGGAATATTTTGAGCAGATATTTAATTGAACTCTGGTTATATCAACCAAATTCCCAAATTATTTTTCTGAATTTATAAACGAGAAGCAGAAATCTCGGACGCAGATCATAAGTCAGATCATAATTTTAAACGTCAACATAAATGTCGATGTCTCTCCGAAGTGGGGGTATTTTAGAATGATCTACATGTGTACATACTACATGTGTGTATATGTTAGGAAATCGGGCACACACTATTCTAACGACTATCGATTTGACGGTGCATAATATAATCCACCTCCTCACCACACAAAAAAATTTGTATGTGTTATACAATTATATTACTTATGCTATTACTATATAATATATGTTGAAGATCTCAATCAGATTCAAAATTCTGTGTAAAAGTTCCGGAAAATCCAAAGGATTATCTTTCCATTATCTTTACATTATCTTCACATTATCATAATGTAATAATACATAAAATATTTATTTAATAATAATATAATAGTTTTTTTTGAAAGACTTATAAACCTAAAACATTATATAGTATGGTTATATACCTATAATGGCAATTGCTACGAAATCCCTCAGCTGAATATAATAAATTATGTATAATAATTATTTTCAATTATTTATAATTAATTTTGCAGTGACTGCAAAATATGATTCGAGTGTCAGCTCAGCTTTATTAATGTTCTATCTTCGAATGCCGTTACTGGATCGAATTCAGCAAAAAATTGTTTATGCAAAAATAAAATTTTAGTTGTGACTAAGGCAGTGCGGAGTAGAGAAGCTTAACCGGGTTTGTACGATTCTCTCTAACGCGTCGTGGCGAAGTCCCGTTTTTTAAATTCTACATCAAATGTGTTATTCATGAGTTTAGTTTATATTGAGTTTATGTTTTATTTATTTTTGTGTTTTGATAAATAATTGTGTTTTATTATAAAAAATATACATATATATATAAAGTATATATCTCTATATTTAATGTGTTGAAAAATAGTGTCTTTGCTAACTAAGTGTATCTTTGGAAAAAATAATTTTTTTTATTTGCTTGCAACTCTCGCTTAACGTATGAAAGCTTCAAGCTGTTGACAAATACAAAATGTTGCTGGTGAGTTTAAAACAATTATTTTCTATTATTTTATATGAAATATTAAATTTTATTTATTTATATATAATCAAATACATATGTTTCTAAATACTTGATCAATCTTGAGTGCTAAAAAATTACTAAAAAAATAATTTGTGGCATCGCATCAATGAATAAATAAAAAACAAACAAAAAACGGTATTATTATTAAGCCAATGCAGCTTGTATGAAAGCTATTGACAGCTTATGAGCTTGCATGGCCGTTTGTAGAATTACTTCGTCAACAAATCGCATCACAAAAATGACGCACACAATTAATGTTGCCAGCAATATAACTAATGTTGCCAACAACATAACTAATGTTGCCAGCAATATAACTAATGTTGCCAACAACATAATTAATGTTGCCAGCAATATAATTAATGATGCCAACAATATAACTGATGTTGCCAGCAATATAACTAATGTTGCCAACAACATAATTATGTTTATATACAAATGTGCGCTTCATAAGTACATATTGTAGATGTTTCTGAATGTGAAAGCAAACAGGTCGTTTTTTAAAATCATTCAAATAGATTCACTTATATATTATTTATATTTTTAGATAATAAAATGAATGTTTTACTTTTTTCTAATAATAATTTATTCAGATATTTCTGTTTCGAGTATTACCGATTGTAAGTGATCTTGGAATTATTTCTCATATTTAATTATTTAAATAATTTTTTTAACCTACATGGGTTACGCTCTTATCCTTGTTTCTTAATATATTTTTATTACAAAAAAATTTATAAACATATCATTAAAAAAATATATGTGGTTAATCCAAAAAAGTACGCAAAATTTCTTAATGTTTTTTTAACATTTATTTAAATTTATATTCAACTTTACACTTATTAAATTTTTTTTTTATAAAAATTTCTATTATATACATCTATTATTTATCTGTTGTCCGACTTTATTTTTTATAATTTATCTTTAGTTATCTTCCCAATAAATAATGCTTTCCAATCATCTTTTTGTGAAGGAATCCATGCTTTCACTTATATCGCAATTGAATTAGGTTCTCTTCTTGTTGTAGTAGCCCATAGATATCTATAAAGCAGATAGCATGTAAGGAATTCCACGACGAATATACTGGTTAGGATGTGGATGTGTAATGATTGAATGAGGTTCGGGGAATTAGGGAGTGAGGGTGAATTGCGAATGGGTGAGATTTAAATTCAGTTCTTATGTTAGCTGAAGCGAAAGCTTAATTGAAAGCGTCAACCATATTCTTGAGCCAGTGATAATCCACTTTAATCCAGTGATTACGTCGATTATATTTAAATTATCCTAATAACTGAACACTTGAATCCAGTAATTAGGTGCTTATATGGTATAAATTTGGTATGTGATCTAAAAAGCTAATACAAAAAAGAACCAATGTTGAATGTGGCTTCGCATCAATTGAATTGTCAAAATTTGTCAAAAATTATCAAAAATTTAATTGTGCCCTTTATTTAAAAATTAATATTCAATTTACAACAACTAAATTAGCTAAAATAACCTTGACCATGAATGCCCCGCAATGAACTTGTTAAATTTTGGAGGTCTAATGACAATATGTCTCATTGTTAAAAATAAAGCATGTTATTCTATCATTTTCCGAATCATCATAGCCTTCTGAAATTAAAAATTTTTGGTTGGACTATATTACCAATCCAAAAGAAAAAGAAATTTTAAAATATAGATCTCCATTTGTGTCCATTGGAATTAAAAAAAGTCCTCCAAGCGTCTTAACATTGCTGTATTAAGACTATTAGTTTCTCTTTATGTTGCAGATATTTTAAAGCATAAGCTTTCATCCTAATGCAATCTTCCCATATCCCCAGGCCAAGGTTATAAAAGTAATCATTTTCCAAAAAAGGTTTGATTTGTCTACGTTAAGGACTTGTTTTCAATAAGAGATTTACTGCCTCGTATGTAATTTCGAATCAAGTCTATAATCCTTTTTCCTAAAAGTATTTTGACACAGCCTATGTAAGGAACGAATAAATTGGCTGGAAGATTTATTTTTCCTTTTTTTTCTAATTGCTATGAAAAGGTATAATGAAAATAGATGATATACTATATGTTCTCTACACAATATATTTATTATAGTGGTCGTTGAAGATATGGCCAGTTGTCATGTGTTTCTAATATATCGATTGCTAATAAAGTTTGAGTGATCTATTCAAGAGTAGAAGCTTTTAACAAAACTCAAACTTTCTGTAATTAACAAGAATATATGAAAAGACTGAACTCGAATGTTCTTCCATAACTGAAAGATGTCACATACACTCACGTCAATAAGTGCTTCCAATAAGAGCCAATCGTTCCCGAAACCTTCTCATATAATATGATTTTTTCATGAGATAAAAATTTCTTAAAGCTTCGGCAATCACAACAGCCTTTAAGTTAATCTTGATTAGAATACGATATCTGTACTCAAGTTGGTTCCATTTTATTTACGAAAAGTCTAGCAATTTCATGGAGATTCCCATCAATGATATGCAGACTTACAGCCGTTCAAGGAACCATTGTAGAACTGCGACCGTTTAACATGATAGAGACTTAGAGGTTTAGAGTGCGTAACGACGGTTTATCATGATAGAGGACTTTTCATAGAACTTAGCCACCTTCAATACTACTCCTTGAGCAGCACTTTAAGAAAATTCAAGTTGATTTCTGAGTTTTTTACGATAGTATAATGGACCCTAGTGGATCGTTAGAATTAATCAAAAACTTTTCAGTTGTAACGTCTATAAAAAATACAAAATTTATATCTCTTTGCATGCAAAGAGTCAAACAAAAAGTTTATTAAGTGTCGCTTTAAGCTAAGTACAAATTTTATTTTTTTTACATTAATTAAAAAATTAATTAAAAAATTTAAACAAAGCAAAATAAACTTAATAAAATCATAATTAATATCGGCAATTGGTCCGTTCATATATCATAAAAAGAACTGATGCTTGACTAGAAATACTAAAAGATACTTTCTATTTACATTTACAAACAATTCTAAGGACCTGCGCTCTATGCTTTGCCATAAGGATTATAATTATACATACATATATATATATGTATATAGTATATAACAATTTCTTTACTTTAAGTAATCACAGTAAAAAAAT